ATAAAAATAAATAAATAAATGAATAAAATAAAATAAAAGAAAAGAAAAAAATAATAGAGAGGAAAATAGAAGAAAAAAAAGTAAGCAAGCGAGCTCTAACTTAATCAACATATTTAAAAATAATTTTTAATAATCATCATCATATAAATATATGACAACTTAGCATCAAGAACAAATGACTGGAATATTATAATAGATAATGATATTACAGTGACCTTTATTTCTCTCTAGGGTAGCGGCGAGTCGAGCATGTCTGCTGACGCAATTGCGAGCATAGCGAATAATGTGCCACAACACAGATGATTTGCACACAACAGAGATTCTCGTACACCTCTTGAACCGAATGCCAAGTTGATAGATTGTCCAAATGTGCTGCGTATGAGCGAAAGAATGAGCGCATGAATGAATGACTGAATGAATGAAGAAATGGACGAGCCACGTGATGTGCCAGCCGTTTGCCTGATGCTGCCTGCTCGGCGCTCCAGAGATTGATGGTCAAAATGGCTGTTGATACATCGTCGAAGAGGGAGCAGGAGAGGGAGAAAGACAAAGAGAGAGAGAGAGAGAGATAGTATAAGAGTGAGAGGGGAATAGAAAGTGCCAGCAACAGCGACTGATGGCTGCTGCTCAGCTTCGAGTTCAATGAAGAAAAATAATCACCCAACATCATTTATTCTCCGTTTTGCCTGCCGCCGCTGTACAACACCCATCAATCTTTGTTGTTGGCCCAAAGTGGGCAGCAACAGCAACAACTGCAGAGAAGCAACAACTATCGGCCATGACCATGCCACGTCTGCTGATGTATATATACTCGTATACTTTGCAACTTGACAGCTACTGACATGGACGCCAAAGCTTTGGCTTGGCTTTGGCTTGGCTTGGCACAGCTGACAGACGACGACTTTTGACGTTTGCCTGCAATTAACGGATGTGCCCCCTGTCAAGGCAGGCCCCACCATGCCCCCCACATTGAGCAGTGTTGAAAAATGGCCGCAGCTGCAGGTGAAAATGGGCACAGCGAATGCTGCCTAATGTCTTGACAGCCGTCGAGCTGAGTCGCCCATCTTCCATCTATCAGGCCATTTTAATCATTAATTTCAAGGCCCACACACACACAGAGAGAGAGAGAGAGAGATAGAGAGAGAGAGAGAGAGTGCGTGTGTATAAAACTCCGATTCTGTTCATGTCCTTGTTTGCCAAGACTAATTTGTTGGCCGGGTCGCCAACTATTTCATGTTGGCAAGATTTGATCCTTGCAGCGTTGCCTCATTTTGTTGCAAGTCACTTGTAAAGTCGTTTATCATTTAGTTTTTGCTTTTGGGATGAGCAAAGACCCATGTCTCTCACACATGGTGAATGGCGAATGGCTCCTCCAACAGCCGCATCAATGTCAGCATCAGACGGCACATAAACGAGCATAGTCGGAAGGCTGGGAAGCCCTGATGACGTTGAATGATTCTCTAGTGGGTGTGGCAGAAGCTGTGGCATTTGCAAATAAATGAGAAACGGAAGACTCAAGCAGAACAACTAGAAACTTATGCTTTTAAATATGCATCGCTATGCAAAATGGCTTGAATGCCAGCTAATAAATTAAAATAGGTTACGGTTTAAGTATCTGCAAAAATATTTTATTATATATAGAAATCATACATCATATAATCATTATACTATGTATAGATATATACATTATACTATATATATATATATAATCATCATACTATGTATAGACATGCTCAAGACTAAGGGATATAATTTTACAACTAGTTGGTATACTTTTACTAGATGGATCTGGAGGTTTCCTATGACCCACATAAGGCACAGACATGGGTACATGGGGCAGAAGTTGGACTTTTTTTAGTACATAGGATACATATTGAAAACAATGTATTTGCATATATGTAGGTCGGATCGGCTGAATGCTATAGTTAAATATTGAATAAATAAAGTACTGGATTATTTAAAACAAGCAGAAATGTAGCGTCCGATTTGATATTATATAGGTAATTTACGTCTTTCGCCCTTACAGGGCAATGCATATACATGCATATACAGGGTATTGATTATAATCACTTATATAATTTTATGATGCTGAAGCACGCCAGGTTCACATATTTACATACTAGAAATCAAAACAAAGCAACCCAACAAAAATGCATATTTGATATATGATATGACTAATCTTTATACATTTTTATACCCTGAACCCATTGAAGATGTGAAATTAGGGAATAATGGTTTTCTAGAAATGTATGTAACAGGCAGAAGGAGGCGTGGCAGACCCCACAAAGTATATATATTCTTGATCAGCACGACGAGCTGAGTCGATATAGCCCTGTCCGTCTGTCTGTCCGTCCGTCTGTCCGTCTGTCCGTCCGTCCGTCCGTCCGTCTGTCCGTCCGTCCGTCCGTCCGTCTGTCCGTATGTTTGAACGCGTCGATTTCAGAAGATATAAGAGCTAGAGACTTCAAATTTTTTACATGTCTGTATATACAGCGCGGATATCGAGTTCATCATTAAAAATCGATAACTCATCCCGATCTTTTTTTATTGATAAAAAACCCTATCGAAAATCAGTTTTAAAATTATATCTCCTACATCTTTAATGCTAGAGTCTTCAAATTTTAAATATATACTTACATATATGCATTTTATACAATTTCGGTTTTTGGGATCTCGTAGTCGAGCAGTCTCGACTAGAGCTTTCTTACTTGCTCCTAATATACTATTACATGTATAATGATCAAATAGTCAAAATATAAGTACTTTGTGAAGTAAGCCTGGTTCCATTAGCACAAATTTGTTTTCTTAAAAGCTCTGCGAAAGTCTCTTAAACGCACCATTCCATAGATTTTATATTATATATAATATTATACATATACATATCATATCAAAACTTTTTATTATAGATTTTAAATCTTTACTTATTGTTGCCGAGCCTAACTTCGCATGAGACAATGTTTCAATTCGTTCGGCTAAAACTCAAAATGGGAAATCACACTTAAGTATATTGTGCTGTATGTGTGGAACGCGAAGTTGGCTGCGGCTGCTGTTTAGCTTAGACAACAATCAGCTTGGACATTTTAGTGGAGACATACACCTTGAGTGGGGCATTTTAGGTTCCACATATATTTCTATTCAATGTGTTGAGTACTGAAATATGTTCATTTTAGTCAAGTCAATGCACCAAGATAATTTTGTACCATATAGGTACAACAATTTAGGTACATCAATAGATATCTTAATGAGAACACTTGAAGAGTCACATTTAAAAAGGAATAGTTGCTCACTGTTAATTCTTACTCTTGAAAAGTCCCAGCAACTATTCTAGTCTGGGTTATTATATTAGACGATACCCTATAACCTATTTCGACATAATTTAATGAATTTGTTTTTACAGAACAATTTCTTTTTGAATATGTGCTTTATAGGTAGTGATAAGTATGATTGGTTGAAAACTGAAAACGATTTACATACATACTTATGTGTATATAATTATCTACTCGATAATCAATAACAAGCTGCTTAAGTTGGGAAATAAAAGTCGCTTACTGTTTTTGTGACATAGAAAACTGTGTTTCCCAACTTCTTATATGACTCAAATGATACTATTCTATATATATATATATANATATCTTTTTTTTCTTTTTTTTAATTTGTCAACAAAGTTTCTACTAGAGATCTAAGGTAAGCTACCTGTATCAGTCCATCATTATAAGAATTATTAAAATATCAAATAAAATCAGTCCAGCACACATATACGCATTCATTTTATTACGAAACATTAAAAGATAATTTTCCAATTTGTTTGTGTAAGGGAATAAAGGTGTATATATAACTGCTTATAGTCCATGCCTGTTCAAATCTGTGGAAGAATCAAAGGCATAATAAATATTTGCATGGATATGCATCTTTCGGTCTTACCCCAACATCAACAGCCAAATTTATCTATATTGTCCTTGAGTGGTATTTCTTTGTTTTTCTTGGCGCTTCTGCTGCGCGGTTAATCATTTCCATCCTCGTCCTCGTCCTCGTTGGGCCTYTGCATGTAGTGGAGCAACTGGTCGGCCATATGCCAATACCAATGTAGCTTGACCAACTCCAGCCCCCCTTTGTCGGCTATCCAAATCTGGCCATTCTCGCCACACTCGATCGCCTTGACGATGTTCTTCGCACACACAGTGGGCGATTGGCATGGAGCCGTGCGCAGGCGATCGGCGAATGTTTGGCCATAGCTGAGGAAGGCTGTGAGCTTACGATCGACGAACAGCTTGGTGGGTCCACAGCACACGGCCATCACAGCGACTCCATTTTGCGAGTAGTACAAGGGATCCTATGAAGATAAATAGGCATTACAGTCGATTCACTTAGTCCATCAGGTGGAAAGACTTGCCGCTAGACTTCTGGTAAAGCCAATCACACCGAATTTGGATGCACTGTAGGCGCAGAAGACGGGCGAGGGATCCAGTCCAACCACTGAGGTCACGTTCACAATCATACCGCCCTTGCCCATCTGCTGCTTATCCATGTAAGGCAGCACCGTGGCGCAGGTGTTCATCATTCCGGTCAGGTTAGTGCTGATCGTTGCATCGATGTCCTGCTCGTCGCAGAGCGTTGCCCCATTGATGAGCACATCGATGTAGTCCATTTGCACCATGACCTCGTCAAAGTACTGCTTCATGTCCTCGCGCGCCATCGTCACATCGTAGGTCCAGAAGAAGATCTGGGTGCTGTGCTTGATCGACTGCAGCTGGGCAATGGCCTGCGGGTTCTCCACACTGTGCAGGATGGCGAGTTTCTGGATGGATTCAAGCGATATTATACCAAGTCATCCAAGGCATCCTAAAGCACTCGACTACTCACTGCAATATTCTTTCTCATCAGCACCTTGCACGCCTCTAGCGAGATGCCTCCACAGTCGGCCACATAGCAGATGTGTTTGCCTGCCAAATCGAACATATTTACCAAACGGTTCGGCCTCTACTTTATCACTGAGCTTTCGAATTGTGCATTTGCCTAACCTACTTCAAAATATTTTATTTCACATTTTTTTTTATCTATTTAATTAAATGAAGAGCTTATCTCTTCTTTGTTGTGTCCATTGCTCAGATTCTTTAGGCATTTATTAATAAAAACTTAATTTCGTCTGCATAATAGAAAAGCTGAAGTAAACAAAAACACTCAAATTCTCATGAAATAATTAAGTCAATTCGGTTGATTAAGCTCTATATTTGAAATGCAATTGATGTTAATGATATAATCGAAATATTTCTCTATTAGAATTTAAATAATATTCTCTTAACTTCATCAATTGGGTTTTCCCGTATTTCCTACACATCTATTCTTCTGTTTCTGTTTTTTAATGGAGCATACTTTCTGGCTAAATACTCAGCTATTTCATAGCAGTCAGCTTTTTGGCGGTGTAAACTTAAAGATATTTCGAAAACTGTGCTTTCAAGATTGACGTGAATTGTTGCGTTTACAGCCAACTTCACGTTGCGCGTTTACTGCTAAAAGTTTTAGCAAGGACACAAACCCATTTGTAAGCCCACTTAGCCAAGGCACATATCTTGTCAGATGATAAGACCAGAATAAATATTTATATCTGCGAATTTGAATTAATAGACTTTACGCTCTTAATTTTTATACAGAGAATTCATTAAAAGTCAGAGTATGATAAGTTTGTTATATAGATAATATTATCAACCCAAAAAAAAATAAAAAACTTTAT